TAGGAAAAACAGTAATCCTATGTATGTAGATAATATTAAACACTAGTATATACGTACGGGTCATAATAATATACAAAAGGAATAAATCGTTTATAGTAGAAATTGTGCCCTTTTGAGTTTGTAAAAATATTGGCCTAATAAGCATACACGCTTCCAATTTTAACAACGTTCAGTACATTGTTTTCACAATAAATTTAGCGTCTGATAACCGCTGCACCCATAAAATCGATCTAGTGGTTTCTGAGGTGGTTACGAAATGTATAAACAATTTTGTTTTTACTCGGCTGTGGTCCGCAAAATACGTACTGCACTTGGAAAACTGAACAGACAAAATTCATGAGTCATGCGTAATTGTTATTCTTTACATTCGCTTTTAAAAGTGGGGTTTTATTTATAGAAGATTGGTGAAAAGTGGGGGGGGGACAACCGATATGATGTCCCCCCCCCACTTTGAAAATTGGGGGGGGGGCGTGTCGCCCTGCACCCACTGATCGACGCCCATGCTCATAGTGTCTGACGACAGGGTCCAGGCCTGTCCAACGAAGGCAAAATTTCCGACTTGCCACACTGCTGGTGGCTCGATGATTATGTAAGGAATTTTGCTGGCCAAATATAATGAAATTATAAAAAAATTTCAATAGAGTTCCATATAGAAATCTGATGCAAGTGTATTACTTGACCTCACTTGACGGATGAGCTAATTTAAACAAATAAACTTGTAATAACACAACTTGTAAAATAGCTTCACAATTGACAATAAAATTGGCTTCACTAAAGACTGAAAAAGGGGTCAATGGTATTTCGTTTCATTGAAAACCTCCTTCAAAAGTGGATAATTTTAAAACTTTTCTGATGTATTTGGCCACCCAGTTTATTTCACCACCCAAGTTAAGGTCACACACAATCCAAAGTTTAATTAACAAAAGAATATCATATAATAAAGATTCTGAAAAATATATAAATGATATGTTTCATAGATTTCAACACAACTTTTTAATATGATTATTCAAAGCAACATCTGTAGAAATATTTAATTTCTTGAGGAGTTCATTAATTTTCTATTTTAATTTTTCCAGAACTATGAAGTATTTTTTGAGGAGGTGAAGAAAAATTCTACAAATGACCAGCTATTTGAAGATGATGTTTTTCCAGCTGACTCCTCCTCACTTTACTTTGTAGAGAGAGATTCAAATGTTGATGACGTTGAATGGAAGCGGCCGCATGTAAGTTAAGTAAAAATAAAATCGAGATGCTATTGCAGGGGTCCCAAGTTGGAAGAACAATTCCAAGTGATCTGCAGTGGCAGATCCAGCATTCGAAATAGAGAAATAGATGAATAAGTAAATATAGTTTGAAGAAAATTGCAATAAAGTATTTTGTATTTCATATTTCATATTAAAGGGTGTAGGATATATTGGGTCGGTATGGGGGTAGATGGGTCCCTAATTATACAAATTACTAATTGTACATCCTTAATCATGCAGTATGTTACCTCATTTATGTATGAATTTTTTAGAATTTGATTTGATTTTTTAATTTACTAAACTTTTTTTTCCCATTAATTGAAGGAACTGTGTAATGCCCCTCTACTCCAAGTGGATGGCATCAGTAGAGATGATGTCATACAGGGAGCACTCAGTGACTGTTGGTTTCTAGCCTCATGTGCTGGGGTAGCAAAGCATAAAGCCTTAATTTCCATGGTATGCATGAAGCTATACTATTTTTAGTTCAAAGTTAGTCAGAAAGCAAATGCAAATCTTTTATAGCATGCCCAAGGTAGTGTTTGTTTTAACAAATGGTAATAGTAATTTGAAACCATTTCATGTTATTTATAGTACTGGTAATTTGATTATCTGAACTAAACTAGACATATTCAAACTGGCCTGATTCTAATCTTGCTATTAATAACTTATAAATAATGCCACACCCAGTAACTTTTGACACTATTCTCCAGAAAAACTTAAAAATAGCTTATAATGAGCTCAGTAACAATAAGCTTAGATTCAACAGGTTCTTAACTTGTCGCCAGTGATACAATACCGTATATTTTTAACTCTTTTGCTATTATTCTCCAAAAAGGCGGAAAAAAAAAAACAACTCAAAAGAAGGCCATTGACGTCAGTCGTAAATCATAAATTTAACAAACTGAAAAACCAGGAAACAGTAATTAAGTTTAATGTTTCCTATCCTTAATTTTGGTATACATAATGTGTTCCTGAAGTAACAGGGACACTTGAATGCACATGAACATTCTGCATGGGCAAATTGATATAAAATTGTTGCTTTTCTTAATTTCTGATAGTATTGCATACAACAATGCAGTAATTTTCAATGTGCTGTCTAATATTTATTATTATCTCTATTAATGTAATTGTATTACAATTATTGTAAACAAATTTATTTTCCTGCATCAATTTAATATTCATTAGCTAATTAGCTATCATAATTTAATTAATTCCATGAGTTTTAACATGACATGTTGTTCACATGTTTGTCTCGTGATTTTTCTAGCTTCCTTGACAAATTCTTTTATATCCACATTAACTCTGTAATGATGTATTGTGTAGGTGGTTAAAGGTGACCAGCCACAATGCAGTAATTTTCAATGTGCTGTCTAATATTTATTATTATCTCTTTTAATGTAATTGTATTACAATTATTGTAAACAAATTTATTTTCCTGCATCAATTTAACATTCATTAGCTAATTAGCTATCATAATTTAATTAATTCCATGAGTTTTAACATGACATGTTGTTCACATGTTTGTCTCATGATTTTTCTAGCTTCCTTGACAAATTCTTTTATATCCACATTAACTCTGTAATGATGTATTGTGTAGGTGGTTAAAGGTGACCAGCCACTCCATGGTGAGGGGTATTGTGGGATTGTTCACTTCCGTTTCTGGCGGTTTGGTAGCTGGGTCGATGTCATCATTGATGATCGACTGCCGACGGTCAATGGAAAGCTTCTTTATGCGCACTCTAGTAACACCAATGAATTCTGGCCAGCGCTTATTGAAAAGGCGTATGCAAAGTAAGTCTAGAGGTAGTCAATGTATAAATCAACCCAGTGGTAGATTCAGAGAAGCGCAGGGGTGGCGCCAGTGAGGGAGGCCCGTCAGGCAAATCCTGGCACCACCCCTGGAGAACCAGGGGTGGCGCCAGACGGTGGGGAGAAAAACCACAATTTGTCGGGGGAAAAAAAATTATGACGTATTTTCTACATATTAGTATAAACTCCAAAATCGATTAAATAAGCCTTTGAAACATCTAAATTGTCATATTTTTCTCGGGGCTTCGCCCCCATGGAACACTTCTTGGAGATTTTGAGCGACATGTGACCAAATCAAGGTGCCACCACTGATACAAATGCTAAATGTTACAGTATTTCATAACAATATACTGAACATTAATCATATGATTATTGGATACATATTTATCTGTATAATTATATTACAAAGGCCTATATAAAATTGGTGTCCCCTTTATTAACAAAATTTTGATCTGCCCCTACTTGTAGCAGCCATACACACTGTCCCATTTTATTATTTCTCAAAATCTGCCCCTAACCCATCTAAACTTTTAAGGATGTGGTAATATGGGTGTCCCTATGTCACACTCATCTTGAACCATAGGTCCTACATTGTCACGCTCCTCTGGCAAAAATTTCTTTGATCCACCAGTGCTAAACATAGCATAAAGGTATGAAATTTAATAATTACATTTCATCCATGTAAATCAATCCATGTAATCATCCATCCATGTAAATCAATATATATTAATAAGTTTCATCTTGCTGTCAGTCTTGAAAAATTTTCCATTAGTGATAGTTTTTTTCCACTATGGTTGGGATGAGGTGAGTAATTTTATGATTATGACACCTCTAACTTGTACCAGCCATACACACTGTCCTATTTTATTATTTCTCAAAATCT